TCTTCATTTAGCACGTGCATTTAAGGCAATGCCTAACAGTTCATATGACTTCCTACTACAAACGAGAGGGAATAATCATCCTTAGGCTTAAAAAACGATTGGATATTTGACGTCACATATCTGATTCTGCTGATGTCGGACACAGCGGATAAGTTTGATGGATGAGGATGGGAGGGGGGAGTTAACTGATGAACTTTTATAACAATTTTGAAATGCTCTGTAACACAACACCAAACAAAGTTTGTAATAAACAGTTATATAAAATTAAGCTTTAACAGAAAATTTTCAGTTATTTCATTCTTCTCCTCTGGCGAGGCTTCTAGGAATTGTCATATTCGATGAATTGCTCTAGAGCTTAATTTTCTTTTGCATGGTGTTACAAACTTTTGCAAGGTTATTAAAAAATCTATAAATACTGACGTAAGAAACGTTTCAGTTTTTTTTGACTAAGAAATTATGTTCTACTAGTCACCAGAACTTCTGAGGCAAATTTCAGCCCGACGAAATAAGAAATAAAAACGACTGAACAGTACAGTGTGATTGTCGGAATTATGTTAATCATACCCACTTGCAAGTCAAGCTTTCAGGTTAGAAACACCCATCTTAATCAAAGTTGAGCTGCGATCACTGTAACAATCGAATTTTTCACCTACCGATCAGTTCACAAAGGCAAAACAAAGGCGAATATTAAAGAATCATATGAAAACTGCGAAGCTTATAACGTAACGTTTAAGCGTATTACGTAGCTTAGAGAACGGTAAACAAGAAATCAGAAAAATGGATGATTCTGAAACCAGTGCTGAGTGGTGCTAAAAATCTAAAACTTTGATACAAAGGAATTTGTTTCTTACCTCCAAACCGCATATCGTAAAATAAAATCAAACCAATAGGTTATGAGTCTCAAAAATCATAAAATATGTGTAAGGTAATCATGTTTTGCCAGCAAAAAATTAGTACGGCACAAACTATTCGACATCACGAAACGTTCGAATGGAAATGATTATGCCGCCGGTATCGATTTTTCCTTTTTCATAATCTTTCCAATGAAGAAAAATCAAATTCTACTGGCAGTCATTCTGAAGTTAAGAAAATGAAGACTAAACGAAGCATGTTGAAAATGTAGTCATGTAGCAGTAAAAATCTTGGAAAACACTACAGAGCGAGATAAAAAACGTTTACGCGTTATTCAGTCGTCGTGATTCTGGGAAACGGTTTGGAGATTTATTCTCAACTACGGTCACTGGTGAAAAAACCTTTACGCCAAATTAGGCTTCTATCTTCAACCTTTGGCCCAAGAGGCAAGAATTTTACTAAAGGAGGCACGCTCGAGTCGGAGACACGTTATAACAGCTTAGTATTGATCAAGTACATCGCCTGAACAGAAATAGAGGGAACATCATTTTTGAGCATGGACGTGAAATTTTTCAAAATCTGTAAAGTAATATTAAACAAACCGTAACTAGTCAAAACATGAGAAAACAAATACCAGGTAAAGAAAAAATGAAAGATAACAATATACCACGCAAAAACGGACGATCAAACAAGAAAAGCAACGCAAAATGACGTATTTCGTTTACCTGAAAACGTATTTTGTTATAAAATTCGTTTTTAAAATCCGTTACGAACATAATGACACAAAATCATGGCATTTTACAAGTGCGACTTCCAGACCGATGCACTTGACACATCACAAAAAAACCTTTTAAACTCGCGCCGCAAATGTCCAGCTGCGCGCCCATACTTTAACGGTTTGCAGGTACTTAGAAAAAGGGAGTTCTGCTTAAACATACCACAACCTCTAATGAAATAACTTACGGTGTATCGATATACAAGTAATGGCAATAACAATGGAAAATCGTGTGAATTATCACACCAGATAGTCAGATGTTAAATGAGCGAACACAAACTGCAGCCATGAAAGGATCTCACGCCATGGTGGCTACGTCTTTTGGCCATTCTGGTATAAACATACCGGGGCATTGAATTGTTCCTGTTCAACGTACTAGCTAATTTTTGTACTGTTTTCCATTTTCGTGAACCAACTGCTCATCATTTATTTCTTAACTTGCTACTACGATGCAACGCAACGGGAAATTTCTTGCTGAGGAGAGAGACATTATTTTTCTCGGGCTCGAAAGCCGACTTAACTGTTACTGCACCACATGCACTAAAGTAATGCCGCTTAAGCAGGCTACAGTTTTATGGTATTTTAGCACCTACGGTGCATTTGCGCAATGCAGCACCATGGAGCCGTAGACGCTTACGCGGTTCCTTAGGCTACTAGAAGTGAAGGAACGGCGCTACCCCGTGCAAATTCGAAGAAGCATCAGCAGAATGTGAATTCGATTATATTGATTTTTTCCTTTAATTTTTCAATGGTCCAGTTCTGATTCAGGTTATATTGAATTATCGCTGAATCCGTAATGAATTTGCGTCAAGGTGGGCACC